ACTTCACAACCCTGTGAAGTAGGTGCTATCATTATCTCCATTTTCCAGATTAAGAAATTAAGATTGAGAGAAGCAGTTAAATTAGGTAGTACAGTGGATAGAGCACTGGACCCGGAGTCAGAAAGACCTGAGTTCAAATTTGACCTTGGGCATTTCCTAGCTAAGTGACATTGGGCAAATTACTTAACCTCTTTCTGTCTCAGTTTTCTCATCTGTAAAATCGGGATAATGACAGCACCTCCCTCCACCCTAGTGTTGCTGTGAGGTTAAAATGAGATAATATTGTAAAATGCTATAAAAATGCTAGCTATTATTATTAATGATTTGCTCAAAATCAAACAAAGCAGAATTTGAACTCAAGTCTTGCTGACTCCGGATCCAACTGCAACATATCTACTGTATCCAGGAGTCATCATGAAGTGGGGTGGAAGGAAGAAATATGTTTGAACCAAGGCTTTACTATTTACTCCCCTGTGAGAGGCTTCTACTAGGTAACCTCTAAGACCTCTCCTAGTCATGGATGGTCTGGAGCCAGCTGCTTTCCTGAGCATATTGTTAAATTTTTATTGTGAGCATTTTGGCAAATCAGGGCTTGATTTATTGGTCTGTTGATTGTTTGGACTTAAGAAAGCATCAGAGAAAATACTAATATAGCTGATATTGAAAACTGTGTCATACAGCAATTTTTTTTCTGGAGAGACGATTATTAAACATTTACCAGCACACCCCTGCTTCTAGCTCTGCATCCTGAGAGTCTTGGCCCCCAAACATACCTCAACAATGAGTGCTGGCGACTAAGACAGAGCATTCGATGGACAAGATCGACATCTGCTGGCCAGAACACACATAAACACACACAGTCTTTAAATGTAAAGGACTCCTTTGTATTTTGAACTAGAAAATGAGTCCAACCTCCTCATTGACAGAGAAGGAAACTGAGGCACAGGGAGATGAAATGATTTACTTATGGTGGTATATTGTTAAGTAACAGAGTTGTGAGTCCAACCCACTTCCCCTGGCCCCGAATTCTGTGCCCTAGCTCATTGTTCTTGGCATTCTATCTACTTAGTATTCCATGCTTCTATCATTTGATCTTCAAAATAGCCCCATGAAGTAGGCAAGGAAGGTGTTATTATCCCCATTTTACATATGAGGAAGATGAAATTCAGACTGGAAGAGAGATAAATTCTTTTCCTGCCTTCCTTACGCCAGTGTAGTCAAAAGTCCAGCCTACAGTCTTCTCTCTTTCTTCCATGGTAGCTAACATTTCCACACTTCCTTCTTCCCTCACTCCCTGGTAGAAAACTGGAGCAAAGGACAGTGAGATCATGATTCACCAAAGCATCTATGTCAAGGGCCTGGCTGGGAAAATCAAGGCTCAGACAAATGACCTTTCATTCATTCCCTTGCCTTTAAGCAGGACTGGCCTTCCAATAACTAGTCGGCTAGCCAGCCAGTTCCACTTTGAAAGCTTCCAGTAGAACCTTTTTCCAGATTTCCCTAACATAAGTTGGACTCTTCTCTCCCCTCTTCACCCCATCTCTTGCCATCATTAGCTTTTATTTATTTAGTGTGGTGCTATTTATATAGCAGTGGAAAGAGTTCTAAATCAGGAATCAGAGGACCTTAGTTTTGAGTGCAACCTCATAAGAATCATTTAACTTGCAGGAGCCTCAGTTCCTCATCTATATGTAACCCAGGTGTAGGCTGTGGGTGTACTTGGTGCAAATATCATGTGAAATTTTGGAGCTGCAGGCTTATGAGAAGCCCACGCCAGCTTGTGTCCTACCTTATGTAACTTTACAGATAGACTCCTTATTAATCATCAAGAGAGTAGCATATTTCCCCCCACCAGATGGCACTATATCCAAGCCACCAACTCAATGGTCTTGTCTAGGTCTCTCTGACACAGAAGCAGAAGATTCCTTCTAGCGCACATGTTCAAGCCTCACCACTCCCCTCCCCCGCCCCTAAGCTTTATGTTTTCAAATGACTGGGCAAGAAAGAAATCCTATCTGAATTCTAGGTTAAGGGTTGATATTGTTTAGGATTATTAAATTAGAAAAATCTATAATAGGTCTAGGCTCCCCCCACCCCTTCCCATATATACCTGGAAATTTTTTTTAGCTCAGTTTTGATTCCTATATATGTGTAGACTTTATTTATATATGTGTGTATTTGTATTACACAGGCATCTGTAGTCACACAGCTTATTTATTTAACACAGAAAGAAGACAAGAGGGGAAAATAGTTTTTAGCATTCTTATATGTTCTAGAAACTCCTTCCAAACCTGCAAGAGAGGGGAATGGTGTCTACCAGAGATAAGATTGGTTTCCCCACTTCCCAGGCAGCAGATGAGTTTTTCCAAAAGCTGTCTGTTTCTCCCTGCCTTTTGGACTCACCTCTCTGTATTGGCCTATGTCTGGCTACTCTGCAGACCTGGGATGCCCTCCTGCACCTTGGTCTCTACTTCAGCTTACAGTCCAACCTCAGCCCTCCCACCACTGCTCCCAGGATGGACTTTAGTTGTAGTCACAATTCATAGCTACCACTTTGTATCTCTCTCCATTCTCCCTCCCTTCGAAGTTCTCAGTCTCAAGCACCAAAGCCCTAAAATCCTGCAGTGTGTGTGTATGTGTATGTGTGTGTGTGTGTGTGTGTGTGCTCGCATACACACACATGCACATGCATTCATCTCTCTCATTTTCTCTTGTTCTCTTTCTTTCTCTCATTCTCTCTCTCTCCCTCTTTCTCTCTCTCTGCCATGTGCAGGATGGCTTGGCAGGAAGTCTCTCTGTAAGGCAAAGAAGGAAGGACAGACTTCACTCCCCATCCACAAAAATTTCTTGTCCAGAGCATGTGCTTTCTGAGGAAGCACCATCTCACTGTCCTCAAGCAAAGCACTGTCCTACCTCGAGCAGGAGTTTGACTCAGTCCTACTCTTTTCCCAGTTAGGGAAAGGGGAAAGCATGGCCATGAGCCTCAGTGCTCTGTTCCCCAAACTAGCATCAACCCAGGGCCCTGGGGCAAGTAAGAGCTTGGAGGGAGGATAAGAGGATATGAGCACCAGTTGCATATAGAATAAGGAATTTGAACTATATGACTTTCAAGGACCTTTCCAGCTCCAAGTCTATGATCTTATGATTCTACCCTGAGTCTTGAAGGCTATGGCCAAAGCCCAAACTAGTAGTGAGATAGAACTCATGTGCTCCCTGCCTTCCTCTTCCTGTCTTACCCCAATTCAGGTTCTACTATCTCTAATCTTGTTGGGGAAGAGGGAGCTAGGCTGGGCTCAGGCTGAACATCTCATTTTCTTCCTGGTCCTCTGTTGGTGTCCTCTCCATTTTCTTCCCCCTTCCCCATTAGCCCATAGCCCCGAAGGCTTCCTCACTTTACATCTCACTCCATTCCCTGAATTTAGGGAACAGGCTGCCTGTCCTAGGGCTAACCCGTGTTTGAGCTGCTTGATGAGGGAACTCACTGACTGCTAAGTTACATAGACCAGCATAATAAGTGTGGCCCCTCAGCATGGACCTGGTTAGAGATAGAAAGGCTCTGAGAGTCTGAATCAGAAACTGGGAGGGACAAAAAAACCTAAACGGAGAGGCAGGGAGAGAGACAGAGATAAACAGAGAGGCAGGGAGAGAGAGAGACAGAGATAAACAGAGAGGGAGGGAGAGAGAGACAGAGACAGAGAGACAGAGAGACAGAGAGAGAGAGAGAGTTGGACAGAGAAACCAGAGGCAAAGAGACAAAGTAGCAGAGGGACACAACTAGAAAAGACACGGAGAGACTCAGACTGAAACAAGGCCCAGAGAAACAGTATCAAGGAGAGGCCGCAACAAAACAAACAAACAAACAAACAAAAAAAAAAACAAAACAAGAAAAGGCTAGAACAGAATGACAGAAAAAATAGAAACATTGATAGACATAGAGAGAACCAACCAGAATCCAAAATTGATGATAAAAACTTGAGATGGGGAGAGTGCCCAAATAGTTGAAGAAACCCAGAAAACAAGCAATTCGAGGGAGTGTCTCTTATTCCTGGGAGTCATGTCATTCCTGAGGCATCTCAAGGGGCTGCCTGGGTTGATGGCTACCTGCTCCTTGACTGCCCAGCCCCGGCACACCCTAAGGCTAATGCCAAGTCCTTTAGAAAGTGGCAAACTTGAGATGGCTTTGAAGGGAGTCACCCCCAGCCTGAACTCAGTGTTATTGGAAGTTGGGTGTGGGGAAGGGAACAATTTGCAAATTCTGAAATCTTCTCTTTATGTGCCCCCTAATTCTATCTCTCTTTTTGTCTTTTTCTAGGTCTGTCTCTATTTCTCTGTCCTATTGTCCCTGTCTCTCTCAACGTTTCAGTCATCTCTGGGCCTTTGCAGGTCTTGCATTTTTTTTTTTCTGAATTAGTATGTCTGTCTACTTAATTTATCTACCTTTTAATACTCTTGGTCTTTAGTTTTACTATCTGAAAAGCTGCAGAGTCAGCTGGTGGTGTTGCAGCTGTTGAGGCAATGGATAGCCTGCTGGGTCTGGAGTCAGGAACACCTGAGTTCAAATCCAGCATGAGACACTAATTAGCTGTGTGACCCTTGGCAAGTAACTTAACTCTTAATTGCCTTAGTTTCCTCAACTGTAAAAATGGGGATAATAATGGCACCTATCTCACAGGGTTTCTATGAGAATCAAATGAGATAATATTTATAAGACATTTAGTACAGTGCCTGGCACATACTATATAAATACTTATTCTCTCCTCCCCCCGCCTTATCTATCTAAGAAGGAGATAGCTTTTCCTTTCCCTCTCAGGGAAAATGGCCTTAAATAGGGAAAGATATGGGGCAGCTAGGTGGCGCAGTGGATAGAGCACTGGCCCTGGAGTCAGGAGGACATAAGTTCAAATCTGACCTCAGACACTTACTAGCTAGTTGTGTGACCCTGGGCAAGTTACTTAACCCCCATTGCCTCCAAAATTAAAAAAAAAAAATTTAAGAAAAAATAGGGAAAGACAGAGGAAACAGATTTATTGGGGGATGGATGGAACAGCCCTCCCCCAAACACCACTATACAACCCCAGTCTACCCTTTGGCCTAGTTGATTGAAAATAAATAAGGTGTTTTTCAGTGAAGCAGTCTGTCTGTCCTAGAGGAGCTATGGAGCCTGGATAGGGAGGAAGGGAGAATCCTTGCCATTCCTTGGGATTCAGGTCTCTCTGGCTTTGAGGCAGAACTGGTGAGGAGTTGGGCCCAGGCCAGAGTACTGATTGTGGAACTTGGCCCTGTTTGGCAGAATACTTTGTAGGCTGGGTTCTAGGTTCTGGGTTCCATAGGTTCTAGACTCTAGGCCCTACTGTTGGGTTCTAGTATCATTTCTGAGGTCCAAGCTCTGGTGCCTGCCCATCCCTGAAAGAAAACTCTTCATAGACAGGTCCCTTTCCCTCATAGTCCCATAACCACCCAGGAACAGGTCCTAGCTCCCAACTCTAACTGGGTAGCCATGGAGACTGATTCCCTAGCCTAGAATACCCGTCTATAGAAGAAGGAAACTTTGCTGTTCTTTTGTCCATTTTCCCCCTGGATGCTTTATGGGAGTAAAGCATTGTCTCTCCCCACACGGCCAGGTGTATGTCAATGACATGTGAGCTCCATAGTCTTCTTCCGTTCCTCCCGATGCTCTTCCCAGTCTTCCTCGGGCTCATATGTACCCTTAACAATGGCGATGCGGTCACTCAGACTCATGGGGTTAGGTACCAGCAGGTAGAAGTATAGGATGGCGGCCACGACAGCCCCTGTGATGGGCCCCACCCAGAACACCTGGTGGAGACAGTCACAGCGATAGGTCATAGAAGATCAAATACTTCAAGCCCAAATACTAAAAAATCTACCCAGAAGGGTCTGGTTACAACAAAATCTCTCCGAGGATCACCAGAGGCAGATTCCACAACCCAGCCCCCATCCCACCCTGCCCCACCCAGGAGAGGCCATGAATGCCTTTAAGAAAAACCGAACACACAAATCCTCCTCCCTCCCCCTGACCCCAGGGGGCAGTCCGTATAATTTGCCAAGTTAGCTCCTTCCTACCCACCCACATCTCCATTCTAAACTTTCATGACCAGCCCTCCCCTGCATTCTGGGGGAAGGGAAAGACTCCTGTACAACCAGCTATTTAATCCCAGTGGTTTAGGGGTAAGGGGTGGGTTGTCTCACCCAGTGAGCTGGACTGAATCTCTTCATGATGACAGCTGGGCCAAAAGATCGAGCAGGATTCATGGAGCACCCTGTGAAATAGATCTGTGGAAGAGAGGATTGCAACTACAGTGATTACCCATCCTAATTTGATTTGTCTTCTTTTTCACCCTTGGCTTCTCTCCCTTCCCTGCCCTTGGCCAGTCATGGACACTGAGATGGGATTTTAGGGGACAAAGAAAATTTGCCATGTAATCTAATCCCTTTATTTGTCAGATGAGGAAACTGAGGCAGAGAGGAAGGACTTATGCAAGATCATACTGCAAATTAAGACCCTAATTTTCCTAATTCTCAACTCAGTGCTCTTTTCACCTCACCAACCTGTCTAATTAATCCTGGGTTAATTAATTCTTCTAACTTGATTCTTGACTCTTCCCTCTTATCCAACTTCCAGCCCCCTTCAAACATATCCTGTGAGTTTCTAGAGGGACAAGATCAGAGCTGGGGCTTGGAACACTCTAAGATAAACCAGAATCTCAGGTAAATCTGGGTCTAGAAAAGGGACTGTTCCCCAGTCCCTTGAGCCCCTTGGCTCTCCCAAAGTCTGGGACCAAGGGGGACTGCCAATGGGACTCCCATCTTCTCCCTGTACAATGGGCACTCCTCTCACTTTGATTGTTATCCCCACCCTATCCCCAAAATAGAGTGGAGTCCTTGAGTGTGGTTTGCTCACCCCAACCAGGTGTCCCAGTGTGACAGACAGGCCAATGGAGAGGGCAGGGGAGCCCACAGGGTCAGTGCGTCGGGTGTCAGTGGAGGAGAAGATACAGAGGGCCAGCTGGAAAGTCAGGATCATCTCCACCACCACGGCCTGGCCCGGAGTTGTGTTGTTGTTGAGCTGCAGGTGAGGAGGGAAGTTATGAGGGGTCACTGAATGGAAGAGACCCTCCCCCCAAGTCCTTCAGTTATCGTGGTTGCATTGACGAGTTTATTCTCCACCTTCTTGGCTCTCTGCCTCTGCCCGAGAGCTTAGGCTGAGATGTTAGCTGAATATCAGCCTTGAAAAATGGCTTGGATTGCCACCCCCCCAAAACCAAACAAGCTTTATCTTCTCTTCAGGGATTCAACTTATAGGTAGATTGCAAAGCACCCCAAATTGTGCGTAGATATAGTCATTCACTAAGATTATGTAGAGAGAGAGGGGACAAGTATTCATTAAATGCCTTCCATGTGCCAGGCACTGTGCTAAGCACTTTACAAATATGATCTCATTTGATCATAAAAAGTCTTTGGGCCTTGGAACAGAGCCTCTGCTAGGTCCCATATGTACTCCAGACAGCTCTGTCCTGGTTAAATCCAAAATGATTTATTTAAGGAAGAACCTTGTCCTTTCAAGTGTACTTAGTTTCCTATCCCCCTCTTTCCCACACCCATGCCTGGCCAAATGCCAGTGCCAACCCCAAACCTGTCTCTCCAGTGGGGCAGACTGCCTCACAATAGCCGAGAAAATCCTCCTTTGGATTCAACTAATGGATTAATGAGTCCAGACTGTAAGGGACATCATGGGCCAGATTTGAGGTTAGGGAAAAAGGATCAGGACTGCTGGGGATGGGGTGTTGAGGGGAAGGGAAGGCGAGCAGAAAGAGCACAGAATCTGGGAACAGAGTCCGGGAATTGGGGGCTAAGAGAAAAGTATGAATGAGGGAAGTGGGCAAGGACATGGGGTTGAAAGGGAAGGAGATGGCAAAGGAAAAGAAATAAAAAGAGTAGTCAGAAGAGGGCAGAAGTGAGAAGAGGAGAGAAGAGAAGAGAAGAGAAGAGAAGAGGAGAAGAAAAGAGAGGAGAAGAGAAGAGGAGAGAATAGAAGAGAAAAAAAGAAAAGAGAGGAGAAGAAGACATATGGAAAGGGTGTAGGGCTTAGGGGCAGGAGCTTGACCAAGGATCTATTGGCACAGGTTGAGGTCCCTCATTCCACCTCTCAACAATGGCAACCCTCCTACCCATTTCCTAAATGGGAAAACTGAGGCCTATATTAGTGACTAAAGCCAGAAGACCCCTCTGTGGAAGGGGGTGGAGAGAAAAAGCCTCCACGATTTGATACTTCCCTCCCCCAACACCTCTTTCCTATCCCCCCAATCCCCCCCAATTCCCCCCTCCCAAGAATTCAATTGGCTCTAGGCCAGAGACTCACAGCATTGACAGCTAGGTTGCCTCGGGCATTGAGAGGAGTGAGTCCGTAAAGGATGCCAGCACCAGCAATGGCACCCACCAGTTGAGCGACCACATAGAAGACAGTTCGGAACAGAGAAATCTGGTTGCCCACAAAGAGGGCCAGCGTGATGGCAGGGTTAATGTGCCCACCACTCACAGGACCCAAGGCCTGGGCCAGGGTGCCAATAGCCAAGCCAAATGCCAAGGAGATCTGTAAGATACTGGGTAGTGCTGAGGGCCACTTCAGGGCTGAGCCCAAGCCGAAGAAGACAAAGATGAGGGTGGCAAGGAACTCGGCAAACACAGCCTTCAGGAATGCCACAGAGCACACCTCCTTCTTCATAGTGGCTAAAGGCACCCTCCCTAGTGGGGTCAATGTCCTTCTGTTGCTATGCTGAATCCAGCCTGCCCAGTCTCCCAATCCCTCTTTCTGCCTCCTGGTTGTTTGGCACTGGAGGAGGAGGAGAGGGATATATAGGAGGCAGGAGTCCAGGTAGGGGGTAAGGGGGTGGGGTGGGGTGGTAGAACTGGGCGGCTCCTCCACCCTGGGGCTGTGAATGGGGGGAAAGTTTCCATTTAGGGCTGGCTCCTAGCTAGCTCCCTCCCGCCTGCCTGGACGCAGAGACAGCTTTCACCCGTCCACCACTGACAGGGATCTGGTGACCAGTCCTGCTAAGTTACTCATGGGATTGTATACGTGGGATATGGGCTCTCTCCCCAACTCCCACCACCCTTCAGACTCTACTCCAGGGCTAATCCTCTCCCTCCTCTTCTTTCCCCTTGATTCCTTTCCCCTTTATCCTCAGTCTCCTCTTTCTACATCAGCCTTTCTTTTCCCTTTCCTCTCTGCTCTCCTTGATTTCTCCCTATCTAGTTTCTCTACCTGTTTATTATCAGCATTCTCCATCAGTCTCAATCTCTCTCCTCTGCAATCTCTCTTCAGCATGGCTCCTCTTCATACGGCAGCACACCCCTGGGCTCCTCTCCCTCAGGATTCAGGCTTCCTGTGCTTCCCAATCATCTCACCTGCCTGAGTTGGCTCAGGCAGTGTGAATGGCAAGAGTGGGTGAAGACAGTCATTCTGGCCCAGTTGGCATCCAGACCCCTTGCCTTTTGCAGGCCCCAGAGATCCCTGTCTTTCCTTGCCTCTCTGTCCCACCCTAGGCATGGGAAGGGCAAGCATTGGAGCCTCAATGGTTTTTTTTTTCTACAAGGGGTGAAATTGGCACGAGGGCACACTGGCAAGATTGGGCACTGTGCCCACCAGCTACTTGGCAAGTCTTCCTCCCTATGGTGTGCTGACTAAATAGGGCTCTTTGTCCCACCAGTGGGAGAGCTGTTAACCCCATGGGAGCATTTGGCTTCCCTAAGGTATGGGCTGAGGTGGTCCCCCTTGCCTCCCCTATGGAGGGTAGGAAAGGGACTAGTTCCAGTTGCTCCCAATCCTGATTCTCCCTTTCCCACTTTTATGGGTGGGGTGGGACTAGGAAGTCAGGACATTCGGGGTCTTTTCCACTATTTGTTGGGGGGGGGTGGCCTTTTCTCTTCCTCAGTCTCCTTTTCATCCAGGAAAGGGGAGGGCTCATAGAGGGGAGGGAATGGAAAAGGAAGGGGTGACCTTGATGGTTTAATTGTTCTGCTTTTGAGTAGGGTTTAGAGGAAGGAGCCTTGGGCGGTAGAGATGGGGAGGCTTAATCACTGTGTGTGTGAATGAGTGAATGTTTGTGTGGACCCCAGTGTGAGTGGTTTGGTTTGTTCTTTTGTTTTGTTTTTGTTTGTCTAAGAACAGACGGAGGGGAAGCAGCAGGACTGGGCCCCGCCTGGATTTGGGTCCAGATTTTACTACTGGCCTGAGTGACCCTGTCCATGCTTGGACCCATCTCCCTCCCCACCTTCAGCCTCTTCTTCTTTTGGACTCATTTCTTTTCCCCTCCTGGTTTCTGTTTTTTTCCCTCTTAGTCCTGTAGTTTCTTCCCTCTATTTCTCCCCTTGGAGAGGCCTTAGTAGAAAGAGCATTACATTTGGAGTCTGGAGGCTATGGATTCAAATCCTGGCAGTTATCTCCATCTGTCACTAAGTGACTGTAGGCAAGCCACTTATTTCTCTGAGCCTCAGTTTCCTCATCTGTAAAATGGGGATAGTAATTCTTATACTATCTGCTTCAGAGGCTCCTTGTAAGGAAATCGACAGCTCAGTTTCTCAGTCTACTCAGATTCTTCCTCTTTTAATGGGAAGGAAGGGGTGCCCTTGGTTGGCTCCTGGCTTCCACAGCCTATTCTCCCTTCTTCCTTTCTCTCTTACCTTAAATCTCCCACTCGGCTTCCCTCCTCCCTTTTTCCTCTCCCTTATTCTCCCTCTCAGTTTCCTGTTGTCTCCCTCAGTTGCTAATCTCTTGTAACTCCCTTGCCTGAGTCCCTCCATTTCTTCCCTTTGACCTTCCCATCTCTCTCTAGTTATTCCCTTTTTTTCTCATTTCTCTCCTCTCACCCCGTTTCTTTCTGTCTCTTCTGGTCTTCTCCCATTTTTCCCACTCCACCAATCTCAAATTCCCAATAACTCCCCTCCTCTAAATTCTCCCAATGGATAGGCTTTTTCACAGCCCCCCATAAATGTTAGGATTCCATATCCCCCCCCATCATTCCTTTCCCCATTTTCTTTTCCTCCTGCCTTCTTCCCTTTTCCTTGCCTAGGGTCAGGCATGTGGGGAACGAGGCTCTAGTGTGTGTGCCCTGCTCACTAGTGTTTAGAGAAGGGGGGTGAGGGAATTCAGCCAGGAATGGCATGTTGGGAAGGATAGGCCCCAGAGCCCTGGGCTGGTGTGTGGGCCCTTTAGCTGTTATTGATGGTGGGAGTCTTCTCATTCTAACCACACTCTTTCAGTGACTTCATAGGTGGATTGTGGTCTGAGCCAGCTCTCATCTCTGATACCCTCTTGCATATGGTGACCTCAGTATGGGGGACAGTATGACACAGACAAATGAGGCTGCCCCCCCAATTGCAAATTGGAGCTTAGAAAGGAAAGAGGGCCAGCCTTGGCAGAGGGGGTAGAGGTAGGGTGAGGGAACAGGTTTCCTTGGCTGACTACCGGCTTTCTGGCCAGTGGACAGATGGGGGCTGGGATTAAGGATGGAGAGAAGCATTTTAGGGAGGGAGAAAGGGAGGCCAAGGGGAGGGGAGGAGCTCTGGGAGTAAACATGTGGCAGAGAAAAGGCCAAGGAAAACACTGGCCCATGAAACCCCACTATTGTTTCCATTCTCCTGGCATTTCCGGCTTGTGCTTCTTCCTTCCCCACCCCCACTTCCCAGTCACCCCTCCTGGAGCCAAGAGACTGACTGGGGAAGCCAACAGTCAGTCTCAAGAAGGTTATAGAGGTCGTTGGGACATCAAAGAGTTCATCTTCAATTACTGGAAAGATTTAACCTTTCTTGATCTCAAAGCAGGAATCCTCAAGAATCAGGAATCCTCAACTCCCCCAATTCCACCTGTAAGCAGCACCATCTTGGAACTAGGGAAGACCCTTAGTGAGGTGGGGTAAAGGGTAGGGAGAAGAGGTGGTAGCTAATCCCACTCTACCAATCTCCACTTCCTCTCCATCCACCTCACAAGCCCCTAAACAGGCCAGCTGTTCTCCCTGTACTCCAGGTCACTCAGAATTCTCTAAACTTTCTCCTTTCTCTTCTCTCCTCCCCCTCTCCTCTGTCTTTCTCACCCTCTTCGATCTTTCTCAGGGTAGGCATATGGGCGAGGCTCTAGGGCATGTCATCCTACATTCCAGGGGAGGTAAGAATAAGAAAATCCCTGGGGAAGAAGAAAGATGAGAATCATTTGATCTCTATCCTATGGGGTTGGCTCCCTTATGTTTTAGGGCAGGGGTGAGGAACCTGCAGCCTCGAGGCTACATGTGGCCCTCTAGACCCTCAAGTTGCATCCAAATTTGGATGCAATCAAAGGGCCTCAACTTGAGGCCCTAGAGGGCCACATGTGGCCTTGAGGCTGAAGGCTCCCCACCCCTGTTCTAGAGTAAATCAGGAGAGAAGAAGAAAAGATAAGTGAATTTCTCATGGTGACATAGAGAGATGTCTGGAATCCTCTCACTTCAAGAGTTCTCTTTGCTTCAATCCAATTCAATTCAACCAGTGTTTATGAAATGCCTACTATGTGTGAGGCACTGTGCTAGGTGCTGAGGATAACAAAGACAAAAATGAAATCAATCCCTTCTGTGGAGATTTAGGGCCTATGTCTCCTGGGGAAAGTTCATACAATATTATGATTCCAAGTGGAGATCCACCTTAGAACCAAGCTCTGCTATCTTTCTGAGGTCTGCAATGTGTCCTGCCCAGCCCAGCCCAGTTCAGTTCCAAAGGCCTCTTTATCTGGAATGGAATAGGAGGTATCTGTGTTCGATAGTATCTAGTTGTTACTTTGAAGGCTTCCGATTATCTCAGTATGCATCACGTGATGTTAGAACTGTAAGAAATCTCAAGCATCCTTTAGTTCCACCCTCTGAGGTCCACAGGAGGAATATGACTTACGAGGGTCACATAGCCAGCAAGTGGAGAAGCCAAGATCAGAACCCAAATTTTCTGGACTCTGGACTCTGTTCCATTACTGTTCTCTCCCTCCCTTTCAGGCCTTTTCTTCCTCCCCCCACTATCTGGCATGTACAATAGACCAACTGTATTACTCGACTACAGTTAGAAGTAGAATTTCAGAGTTGGCAGATATCCAAAATACCACCTGGTGCAACTCTCTCATTTTACAGTGAGGAAACTGAAGCCCAGAGAGGGTAAGTAATTTGTCTGAGAACATACTGAGAGAGGAACTGAGAGCTGGGGGACCCTGAGTTCTAATGGTGGATGTGGTAAGGAAAAGCCACAAGGCTGTGGTAATAAGTACTCAGATCTTCCCTAGGCCTCCAGGGACTCAAGGAGTGTCTCTTTCTAGGTGATAGATTTGGGAGGAGAGGAGACTCCTCCAGCTCCCCATCTCTGCCTCTGATTCTTGTTCCATCCAGGACTGGTATCTATTCTGTGTCCACCCTATGTCCTTATGTGCTTTTATGCCTTTTCTCTAAAATGCCAACCAGGCCACAGAATTTGGGGAGCATAGCAATGAGGTCAGGCCTCCCCTGCAGTGGTAGAGCATTCATTCAGCAAATTGGTAAATGACCCAGGTGGACTGAACTATTCTAAGTTGGAAACAGAACTAACATTCATCAATAGATCAAAGAGGCATCTATCAAGGGCTAGGAGTGGGGAAGGGGAAAAGCTTTTATTAAGTACCTACTATGTGCCAGGCACTGTGCTAAGTACTTTACCAATATTATTTGATTCTCACAGCAATTCTGTGACATAGGGGCTATTATTTTATCACCATTTTACAGATAAGGAAACTGAGGCAAGCAGAAATTAGATGACTTGGCCAGGGTCGCACAGATAGCGAGTATCTGAGGCTCACATTGAACTCAGATCTACCTAACTCCAAGCCCAGCCCTCTAAATGCTTAGATTAGGGAGTGAGATACAGATAAAAGAAAGGAGTCAATGACCTCAAAGAATTAATAATCTGGTTGGGGGAGGTGCCATAAACACATAAAAGGACTCAGATTATGACTCAAAACACCTGTAGGTACAAAAAGGAACAGGCCCTTCTGGTCATCACCGGGTCGATTTCACCTTCCTTAATCCTCAGCCCGCGTCCTAATATTCAAGGCTCTCGCCCAATCTTTGCTGGGTTTCGTGTCAATGTGCCTGTCTGTGTCCTGGGTAGACACCTCCCCTGTCAAACTGAGTGCTCCCTCAAAGCAGAGACCTCATTTCCTCCTCCTTGGCACACTTCAGTATCACCAATAGGGCTCTCCTCCTCATTGCTGTCTCTGGCCTCTCTGGTTTCTGTCAGGTCTCAGTTCAGACCCCACCTTGTACAAGAAGCCATTGTACAACCCTAAATGCCAGCACCTTCTCTCTGAGATTATCTCCAATTTATCCTGTCTGCATCTTATTTGTATGTAGTCATTCACATGTTAGCTTTTTTATTAGACTTGTATTCCTTAAGAGCACCGACTTTTTTTCCCCTTTCCTTTCTGTATATTCACAGCATTTCATCAGGTGCCTGGCATACAGTAGGTATTTAATAAATGTTTGTTGACTGAATGATTGATTGTGCATACAAGGAGTTTTCAGGTCGGGGTGATTCTGGGCTGCCCTGGAAGATAGGGCAGGGCATGTTTTAAGGGACTCTGTAGGCTCCAAGGCCTCCACAGACTCTCAGCCCCTTCTTACTTCTCTCTTCCCAACAATTCAAATATTGAATTCGCACTTTTGTGATACACTTCCTAAGTATAGGTCTGAACACTGTGCCTAGATTGGTGCCCCTTCTATCTCAGTTGGTTGCTAGTTTACTTTGGGGAGGGAAATAGTCTTTAAGCTGTGGTCAGGTCCTTTGTCTGGGATATGCCTGACCCTGAAGAAGAGAGGAGGGTGGGAGAGAAGGAGGAGAAGGGGGAAAGAGAGAAGAGAAAGGAGTTTAGAGAATTCTAAATAACCTGGAGTGCAGCGAGAACAGCTGGCCTGTTTAGGGGATTGTGAGGGGGATGGAGAGGAAGTGGAGATCGGTGGAGTGGGATTAGCTCTTGCTCTTCCCTCCCTCCACCTGACTAAAGGTCTTCCCTAGTTTCAATATAGTGTTGTGTACAAGAGAAATTGGGGGAGTTGAGGATTCCTGAGAGGATTTGTACTTCAGAGATGGTCCCTTCTAATTTTAGTACTCTGTGCTCCTGGCTTTGACTTCTGATTTCCTACTGGTCTCCTGACCTGGTCAACGGAATAGAGGTGAGGGCCAGCCACATCCTGGGAAGGAGGGGTGGGAGCATCTGCCTAGGCTTGGATTCAACTTGGTGTTTGCTCTGTGTCAGCACCTAGGAGAGTCCCCATCAATTTGGTGGCCCCAAGGACAGGACTCCTGGAACCCAGCAGGGTTGGGAGCCCCAAGAGAAGAACATCTAGAGCTCACTGCTTTTTTAGAGCTATTCAGTTACTCAGCAAATTAGGCAGCACACCCAATACCAGGTGTAAGATGAGATCACACTGACTTCTACTTGACCCCACTCAGTCCAGGGAATTAAAACTCATATGGAGCCTTGACTATGGAGATAGCTGAGAACCAGAGGGTATGTCTCCCCATCTCCACCCCTGGGCAGCCCTTTCTCTGTCCCCCAAAGGAAGGCTAAGCTTCAGATCCTGAAGTGTGTGTGTGTGTGTGTGTGTGTGTGTGTGTGTGTGTGTGTGTGTGAACTCTCTGTGTATGTACTTAGCATGTGGGGAGCCAGTAATCAGGTCATTATTTTCATCTTGTCTTAAGGATCCCTGATGATCAGAGCCCTTTATTGGACTCTGAAGGAGGGCAGGTATTTCCAGAGAGAGGAGGAATCTCAGTGTATCATACCTAGAAGGAACCTTGGAAGTGATCTAGTCCAACCTTCTTATTTGACAAATGTGAAAAGGAAACTGAGGCCCTAAGAAGTTAATTGACTTAAGGTTATAGAGGGGGAAAAATGAGCAAAGTGAGGTGAGGGTTAATCAAGAAATCCTAGGAAGGTGAAACAGAATGGGTGGGAAGGGTATGGTCAGGAGAAGAGGTAAGAACATCTAATAACTAGGGGATAGAAATAGCCTGTGGCAAGATCAAAGGCCAGACAAAGGTCAAAGTGTGAGTGAGAGGGGATCAGCACATTGTCTTGACTGAAATTAGGAAGGCAGGGTCATACAGTGGAAATAACATTGCCTTTGGAGTCAGAGACTTGAGGTCAAACCCCTTTTCTGAGACTCTTTGGACCATGGGCAAGTCAGTGGGCCCCATTTTCCTCATCTGTAAATTGAGGAGTTTGGATTAGATGCTCTCTGAAGCTCCTGCCAGCTCTACAGCCATGAGCCTATGAATGGAGAGTCTAAGGGGCAAATAGGAGTTAAACATACACAGAACAACAGCTATCTCGCTATGCCTTGGGCCCCAGGACCTCTGAGTCTTTTCCCTTCCTCTCTCCACCTCAAATAAGATCTCAGTCCTGGCCTCAGAAGATGATCATTGAGAATAACACCCCTGCCGTGATGTGCTCTCCCTTGAGAAATGGGGAGAGCCTGGGGAGATGGGGAGATGCAAGAGACAGATTGAGACGGGGAGAGGTAAGAGCAGAAGCAATTGCTGAGTGAGAAGGGCCACTGGGCTCATGTGTGGAAGGCTGGGTGTTTGGGGCATGGAAGGGGTAGATAGAGATGGGATGAACAGGAAGGTGATGCATGGTGCCAGGGCTTCTGCATAACATAGGAGAGTGTGTTCTGGGCCGCAGGGCTTCCGTGTGAAATGAGTGTCTGCTTTCACGAAGTGTCTCCTTGCAAAGCTTCCCTCCTCCTTCTTCACCACCACCCTCCCTCCCCCAAGACAAAGGTCAAGGGGCCACAAAAATGCCTTTGTTCTCACTGATACTCGGGTTTCATCTCTGGGGATGGGGACCTAGGTGATGAGCACACTTGTATTCCTCAAGAAAAGTTTCCACCTAACCCCTCAAATGGAGCTGGCTTCCAAGTGCAGGGGAGAGGGAAGGCCTGGGACCCAGGAGTTCAGGATATGCTTAGTCTCCTCCCCTTTCCATCTCTCCTTCCCCTCCTCCCAATGGCTCTCCGTGCCCAGGGGGCCAGGTTCAGGGAAGAAGGCTCCATGTGCTGGCTTAGTGCCTGCTTTGTGGGTGGGCTCTGAGGAGCCTGGACCAGAAGTTCCAGCAGGTGGGTGACCCAGCCCAGCAGGTTCATGTTTAGGACCTGGGACAAGTCAGAAGAATCTTCTAGGGAATTTGAGGGCCCTCCTCCAATTTATTTCAGTTCTCAGTAGATTCACTCCTTCCTGCCCTCTCCCCCAAATAGATCTCTAACTGTCCCCACCTTCTTGGCCTTTCTTCTTCCTGTCCCATCCACCCCATTCAGCATCAATTTATTTAGCCTCTAGCAGATGTCTCTGTTTGGATGACGTAAAACACCCAAAAGGTTCTAGGCTGGGGAATCTGGTTTATTGCAGATGATTGGTGTGAACTCAGAGAAAATGGTCAAAGGTTTGGCGATACCAGGGGAAGTAAGACAAGTCAAGGAAAGAAGGAGGGGTCCTTGGCTCAGGCTCATTCACAGATGCTTCTGGAAACAGACACTCATGACTGGGGCTCTGACATTTACCCTCAAAGACACGCAATCAAGAATGTGTACTTACTCCTAGACACACCCAAATATGCCTGTGCGCGCACACACACACACACACACACACACACACGCACGCACGCACTCACAGTCATATATACATATAGAATAACACGGTCATGTGTACAAACACATATTTGTGTGTGAACACAGCAACGTGCTCGTGCAAATGCAAATACATACTAATAAGTAATCTGCACATGCAAACACATACATTGACACATATGAACCCACATAACCCCAGATACACAAACCCACTGGCATGGGGTGATCTTCTAATATCCCTCTGTCCTTCTGCTCTTAGCTCTAGTTAAGGGAATCTAAACGCTTAGAGAACTGAGGCAAGGAGGTGGATCTGTAGGTTCTGAGCCATTTTAAGGAAAGCAGGGGGAGTTATAGAAGCAGGTGGGAACTGATTCTGCCTTCCAGGGTCAAGTGAGGGAATCTACCAAGCTCCTTCTTTGGAATAGCTCAGCAGCTCTTGCTGCTTCTGTCTGCTGACCTTATCCCTTGCCCCGGTCCTTCTTACACCTACCAGTACCTGCTGCTCTGCTCCCCTCCCCTCCCCTCATATGTATCCTGTGCAGGGGTCACCCACTGCATCACATGTACAGGAAACTGTTTTCCATCCTGTACTGGGGCCAGCTTCCACCCTTGGCAGGATGAGAATGTAGGTGGGGACAGGCAGGTCGTCTCCTGTCCGGATATGGAAGAGAGGCACAGTAGTGCGTGGATGGGAGGCCCCCTCCAGTCCAGGGCATAAGCTCTGACCCCCACAGTCAACAGCTCCAGGTTCCCCTAACTTCTCTGTCTCTGGGGTTCATTCTTCTTGCCCCAGAGGGCCTGGTGTGGGGCCAAAGCGACATCAGGCTTTGCTGCCTCGAGGCAGGCTCTGGGGGGAGTGGAGTTCCACAGATTGCCTCCTCCTCACTTCCCTTTCCTCCCAGTCTGCCTCTGGCTCTTTCCCCTTCAGAGTGGCCAGCCTTTCTGAGAGGCTTTTAGCATGTGGGAATAGGAGGTAGTTGTAGATGAGTGAGCCTAGGATGGCACCAACCAGAGGTCCAATCCAGAAGATCTAGAAGATGGAGAGAAGACAGGGTTAAGGAGTTAGAACCAACTGAAGGAGGTGTTTCTGTGATTCTAAGCCATTTCCAAGGGGAATTGTAGGAATCCTAGAGCATCTTGGATCTTCCTTACCTCTGACTTGGCCTGACTTGGTTCTACCTTCAAGAACCATCAAAGCCTCTTAGGGAGTCTGGAGACTCTACTATTTTGGTGGTGGGGAGTAGTTGAATCCTATTCCTTTGGGAAATCCCTATGAAATTAATCCTTTAACGCTGAACCAATTCCCCTTTCCCAGAAGGGAAATTTCCACATACTGGCCCTTGATCTCCCTCTAGGATCTTTTGTGGGGAGAGAAGAGGGTTTCATCTCTTACCCAGTGGTCATCAAACTTGCCCACGACAACCGCAGGGCCCAGAGAACGGGCTGGATTCATGGAACAGCCAGTATAGTGGATCTGGGAGAGAAAAAGATCATGGAGAATCCTCAGTAAGGAGGGAGCAGGGTTTAAATAGGTGCTTTAAGGCAGTAAGACTGAGGATTTCACTTCATGTCCAAGCTCAGCCTGAGCCTCACTCAGGGTTTCCTGGATTCCTCATTGTTGGTATGCTCACTCCTCCCTGTACAGCTCCCCCCACCACCACTTTGCCTCCACATAGCCGAGGCAGAGGTAGGCGTCCATAGGCACATAGGGGGCAGAAGAAAGGATGAGGATTTCACCATATGAAATCAGCTGCTGAATGGGAGCTAGAGTGTAAAGAGGCCTGAACTTCTAGAGAGGAGAGACCTAGGTTTTAATCCCGCCCTTCAACGTGTACAACAGTCATGTGACTCCTACCTACCCCTGCTCCAAACCAAATGTCACTGTAAAATGGGTACTACAGTGCCCTCCTCGGAAGGTCTGCTGTGAAGATCCAATGGCAACCTTAAAGTACAATGAATAAATGCCAGGTATTCTTAAATCATCCTTTTTATGTCTTACCACGGAATTGATAGTGGGGAGGGACACGGTACATATTAAGGGATGGCACTGGGATTCGTATCTTCTCCTTGGGAAGGGTGTCTCTGCATTTCCCCTCTCTCAGGAAGCCTGAACTGGGTTATGACTTACTCCCAGCAAGTGGCCCAAGGCCACCGAGAAGCCGATGGAGAGGGCTGGAGAGCCAATGTTGTCCTCTCGACGGTCGTCAGTGGAGGCAAAAATACAGAGGACCAGTTGCAGGGTCAAGAAGAGCTCCATGGTGACAGCTTGGCCAGCAGTTGTATTGTTACTGAGCTAGAGAAAGAGAGCAGTCAGGGGGTAAAGGGTGGCCTGAAGGAAGCAGAGGAGATGGGACCCTAAGCACCCATGCAAGCAGGTACCCCTTCCTTCTTCCCTCCTTCCCTCTCTCCCTTCCTTACTTCCATCCTTCCTTCCTTCCTTCCTTCCTTCCTTCTATCCTTTCTTCCTCCTTTCCTCCTCCTTCCCTTCTTTCCTTCCTTCCTTCTTTTCAGGAAGTTCACAGGGCTTCATAGCTGGAAGGCTATGTTTTGGTCTGGGCCTCATTTTGCAAATAAAGAAACTAAAACCTAGAGATATTTTGTGGTTTGGCCAAGGTCACAGAGCTAGTAAATGGAAAGATAATAATCACTAACATCTATATAGTGTTTTAAATTTTGCAATGCACTTTACACATAGTCTGATTTTATCATCCCAACAACCCTGTAAGGTGGGTGCTATTATGATCCACATTTTACAGATGAGAGAAACTGAGACTGAGTGAGATTAATTGACTTGCTCAAGGTCACACAACTAATAAGTATCTGAGGTAGGATTTGAACTCAAGTATTCCTTACTCCAAGCCCATCACTCTATCCACTGTGCCACCTAGATGCTTCAAAGGAATAAGTCTCAAACCCGGTGGAACTCTAAGTCCAGTTCTCTTTTCACTAGATACCTTATTCTTCCCTCTGCCTCACTACCATTCCATATGGGAATAATATAGAATGGATATATACTAGGGTCACCTGTCATCCTAATCCCAAGCTCATGATTTCTTCCTATCTTGTATCCCTACCTGGAGCTGGGAGAGTAGGGACATACCCAGATAAAGGAAGGGGAGTAATCTTCATGGTATAAATGTTTGGGAGCCAGACTGCGAAGAGAAACAGTGATAGGAATAGATATTGTCTAGGCTTGAGAAGAAAATGGGGGTGAGAATAAGGAGACATAAGGCACACCTCATCTTATTATGCTTTGCTTTATTGCACTTTGCAGATTTGCGTGTTTTTTTTTTTTAACAAATTGAAGATTTATGGTAATCCTGCATCAAGTAAGTCTATTGGCGCCATTTTTCCAACAGCATGTGCTCACAACGTGTCTCTGTGTCACATTTTGATAATTCTTGCAATATTTCAAATTTTTTCGTTATTATTATTCTGTCTGTTATGGTGATCTGTGATCAGTGATCTTTGATGTTACTGTTGTAATTGTTTTGGGGCACCACAAACCAGGCCCATATAAGACAGTAAACTTAATCAATTAAGGTGTATGTGTTCTGACTGCTCCACTGACAGGCTGTCCCTGTCTCTCTCCTCCTCAGGCTCCCTATTCCCTGAGACACAACAATATTTTGAAATTAGGCTGATTCATAAGCCTACAATGGCCTCTAAATGTTCAAGCAAAAGAAAGAGTCAATAGATGTGGTAAACTTCATTGTTGTCTTATTTTAAGAAATTGTCACAGCCATCCCAGCCTTTCGCAGCCACCACCCTCCTCAGTCAGCAGTCATCAACACTGAGGCAAGACCCTCCACCAGCAAAAAGATTATGACTCTCTGAAGGCTCAGAGGATGATTAGCATTTTTAGCAATAAAGCATTTTTAAATTGAGTATGTACATTGCTTTCTTAGACAGAATACTATTGCACACTTAATAGACTGCAGTGTAATGTAAACATAACTTTCATATGCACTGGGAAACCAAAAAATTCATGTGATTTGTTTTATTGCATTATTTGCTTTATTGCTGTGGTCTGGAACTGAACCTGCAATATCTCCAAGGTATGCCTGTACTGAGATCATGATACAGGCTCAAGCTTCTTGTAGGATAAGAGAAGCAAATGAGATAAGAGAGGAGGGGGTTTCCACTGCAGGAGAAGAGAGTTATGTTAGACAGAAGGAAAGACTTTGACTACCATGGATTTCAGAGCACCTTGTGTGGCATTTTCCTTGAGGAGGCTGGGGAGGGGGAGGGCAAAGTTATTTTTGGGGGGAGTTTAGAAACTAAGTCTATACTTCTTTAGAGGCTAAGCCTATAGTTCTTTCCCTAAATTTTGGGGAAACTGGTTGGCTGCTGAGGCCTTAGGTTTGGGGGAAGTTTTCTATGGTAGGGAGAAAAGCCTTTGGAAGGTTATTCCCACTCCCTAAATCTTTCCCTGGACCAAGATTTTACCCTGTTACTACATGTTTCTGTTTCTAGGGTTGACCTATTCCTCAATGTATTCCTGGCCTATACCTATTCCCTCTCTGAGGCTCACTTTCCCTAATGATGCTGTCTCTCCATCCATCCCAGTATATCTCCTGGCACCTACCTCACCCCTGTGCCAAGCTGGGTGCGATCAAGCAGAGCAACCTTAGGCAGAAGAGCTAAAGGTTGATTTCATAATCCAGCCACACCTAATCCCTAGCCTAGTTTTTGCCACTTATTTTGCCAAGCCTCTCCCTGCCCTCAGGGATTGGGCATTGGTCTGAATGGAACAGCTGCCAATAAAAGGCCCCCCTGCTTCTTCTCCAGGTCCCAGTCTGCCTTTTCTTCCCTATCCTACCCTGGGTTATAGTGTTCTATCTAGGCATCCGAGGCCCTTTTAACATCAAACCTTAATTTCTCCCATTATCTTTGGTGATCAGAGCCACTAATGGGCACATGGGGACTCTTAGGCTTCTCAGAAACTCTGGAGTCATAGCATCCATTATCCTGCTTTGGGTCAGGATAGCCTCTGAGCCATTCCAGCCATGTGAAGTCCTCCTCTAGCATCTGAAGTTGATTCCACCAACTCTCCTAGATTGGGGGAGCCTAATTTGTTAGTTCACTAGCAAATGAACTAAAGAAGTTCCTCCTTTGTTTTAAATCAATTACAACTTAAGCAAACGTATTAAATACTCATTTATAAATGTGAGATATTATCATTGTTATTACTGTTATTGTTATTACTATGTTCAAAATATTCTGTTAGGACCCTGGGGATAGAGTGATGAAAAATATCTTAGTCCCTGCCCTCAAGTAGTTCCTGCAATGCATACAATAGGCACTTAATAAATGTTTGTGAATTGGAAAAGTTTTCACTTTAATGAGGGAGACTGAGATACACAAATCAATATAATAATAATAAGTTATAACCTCCTAAGCATCCTAAGAGTTGGAGCTCATGCTTAACCCAGTCTTACCTTAGTCTCTTTTCCTGATGGAAGTTCCTGCCTAAGATCAACCAATAGAAGGCAGTCATCCTCCTTCAGATTAATTTCCATCTTGAAGGAAAAAAATTCCTCCTACTCCCCAAGACACTCACATGCAAAGAGAAGGGAGGATCTAGTGAGTGTAACAGAAGGGGGAATCACAGAATCAGGCAATTTCAAATTTAAAAACATAGGTGGTATAGTAGATAGCGTACTGGGCCTGAAACCAGAAAGACCTGAGTTCAAATTTGGCCTCAGACCACAGCTCACTAGGAAACAAGTCCACAACCTCTGTCTGTGTCAGTTTCTTCATCTGTAAAATGGTGATAATAAGAGTTTCTATCTTCAAAATACATATATGTATATGCATATATATATAGTGCTTTATAAAATTCCAAATGTTATATATTAGATATTAATATTATTGAGTCCAACCTATATCCAAGAAGGAATTCCCAGTACAAGTACAACATGCCTGACAAATGGTCATCCAATCTTTGCTTGGAGATCTCCAGTAAGAAAGCCTCACTGTTTCTTCCCTGCTCCTCAGGCAGCCTGGCTCACTCTGCGGCTGAGCTAGTTGTTGGGAAGTTTGTCTTCCAGCCTAACTTTGCCTCTTTGCTACTTCTAATTCTGCCCTCTGGGATCAGACATCACTGAGCTAATCCATCTTCCATGACAGCCCTTCAGAAACTTGAAGATAGTTATTATATTTCCTGTGAGCCTTTTCTTCTTCAGGCTAAGTAGCCTCAATTTCTTCAACTAATCTTCACCTGTCATGGACCTTTCGCTGTCTGGGCCCCCTCTGGAGTCCAGAATTTAACCTAATACTTGACCTAATTACCTGGATACCTAGACAGTATCGGACAAGAGCAGAGTATAGGTAACCTATTACTTCCTTACTCCTGGAAGCCATGTCCCTCCATGCAGTCCAATATTTTATTAGTTTTTAGGGCTGTCAATCACATTTTAAAAATTTTTATTGATATCTGTTGTTTATATATCACTTCTATTTTCAAAAGTTCTCTCTCCCGCTTCCTCTCCCAGAGAGGCATCACTTGCAATGAAAAATGAAAAGAGGGAGAAAAGAGAGAGAGACAGAGACAGAGAGAGAGGGAGAGAGAGAGAAAGAGAGAGAGAGAGAGAAAGTTTCAGAAAACTAACCAACGCACTGATGGAGTGTGACAATGTATACAATGTTCCACACCTATCGTCCTCCATCTCTACAAAGAATGAAGAGAGGTGCATTTTCTTATCTCTTTTTGGGGGCCAAAGTGGGTCATTATAATCATAGTTTCTTTTCTTTTCCTTTCTCTTTTCTTTCCTTTCCTTTTCCTTCTTTCTTTTCTTCCTTCTTTCTCTTCCTTCCTTCTTTCCTTCTCTCCTTCCTTTCTTTTTCTTCCTTCCTTCTCTCCTTTTTCTTCTTTCCTGTCCTTCTCTCCTTCCTTTCTTTTCCCTCCCTCCTTCCTTCCTTCCTTTCTTTCTTCTTTCCTTCTCTCCTTTCCTTTCCTTCTTTCCTTCCTGTCCTTCTCTCCTTCCTTTCTTTTCCCTCCCTCCTTCTTCCTTTCTCTCTTCCTTCCTTCCTTTCTTCCCTTCCTTCCTTTCTTTTCCTTCCCTCCCTCTTTCCTCCTTCCATTTCTTTCTTTCTTTCCATTCATAACTAAATCAACATTATTGACTCATATTGAGTTTGCAGTCCACTGAAATCCCCAAGACTTTTTCCAGACAAACCATTGTCTAACTGTGCCTCCCTAAGTCTTTCAAAGTCAACTTCTTAAACCTGAATGTAAAACTTTCCTTTTTCCCTTTTGAGTTTCATCTTATTAGATTTGACCTAATTTTCTAAGCCATAACGAACATTTTGGATACTGTCATTCAGTGTATTAGTTATCCCTACTAGCTTTGTGTTTTGCAAATGATAGCTGAATGGGATGAACTTTCTTAGGGTTCAGTCTTGCTGATATTTCTTGGGAGCATCCCATTTACCTCTTCTAGGAGTTCAGAGAGGGCCAAAAAGTGGATCCCAATATCACTGCATGGGAGAAACTGAGGCAAAGAAGAAGAACCTAAGTGACCTGGACTTTGTTCCCTACTGCCCTCTCTGACTAACAGGGAGGCTGGGGTGGGGGATAGTAAGAGTTATGTGCCAAATCCTACAGATTACTGTGGAGGTAGGATCCAAGCCCCTCAGTTTACAGAAGAAAACTAAGCTGCGGAGAGGTGAATGGATTGGCTGAAGATCACATAAGTAAACAACAGAGCTGGGACTCAAATCTGACTCTTCTGCCTCCAGACCCAGGGCTCTTTCCACTGTATTAATGGATTGCTTCAGGATTGTCAATCTGATACTATTGAATAGCCTTGGGAAGTCTGGGGAACTGCTGGGAGAAGGGATGAAGAATCAGAGATTATGTCCCAAGCTGAGGCCAGTGTAGGAGGGTAGCACATGTGCCTGGCATACCTTGGGCTCTCCCAGTGCTGGCTCTCTGCATGCCAGCCGATGAATCAATCACTACACTATGATAATAGCTCAATTTTTACATATCTTTAAGGCTCCCAAAGAACTTTCTTTACAACCACCCGGTGAGATAGGTAGTTGTTATACCCATTTTTTACAGATGAGGAATTCACAAAAGTTCAATTACTTTCCAAAGACAATGCAAGCTGTATTTGTTTGAAGACATGGACACAGGGCTCCTAACTCCAAGGCTAGAGCTCTTTGTAACTCATCACAGTGCCTCTCAAGGAATCATGTTTGCAATTCCTAGCTATTATTAACTCAGAGGCCTTCCCTGGGACCTCTCTATGGCTGTGATTAGAACTGGTGCTCGGGTTTTCCAGGTCTCCTGGGGGGTGATGGGCAGTCTGTTCCAACTACACAAATAACTCCTCCCTGCAAACACTACAGCCCAGCAGCACCACATGCACACGAGTAACCTGTGTTTTGTCTCAGTTTTAACTTAGCAAGAGGCTGTGGGGCATAATGCAAATAGTTAGAGGACCTAGTCTGGGCTCTGCCACTAACTAACCTCCCTGGGCTTCAGTTTCCTCATTTCTAAAATGATAATAATAGAACATATTTTTCATAGTACCTTAAATAATAATGGCTAGTATTTATATAGCACTTTATAAATATTCTCACAGCAGTCCTTGGAAGCAAATGCTATTATTATTCCCATTTTATAGATGAGGAAACTGTAGCAAAGTTTAAGTGACTTGCCCAGGGTCACATAGCTAGTAAGTATCTGAGGCTGGATTTGAATTCAAGTCAAGAAGACTCTAGGAACCGTGCTCTGTCTGTGAGATAGGTAGTACAAGTATTATTAATTTCATTTGCTAAATGAAGAAACTGAGACTCGAGGAGTTTTAGTGACTTGCTTAGGGTCACAAGGAATCATCAACACAGCTCAAGTAAGAAACTGGTTCCCCCACAGGATTAGCTATTACCTGTGTATCTGCTGCAGTGGGTGACCCCTGCCTAGGCTCTAGTAGACAAATTCATAGGAAGGTGGGAGCAGGGATGATGGGCCCTCATAGGTAGAAACAGAAGGATTGGGGCAAGGGATGAAGTCAGGGAAAGGACAGGAAGAGCTGTAAGTGGGGAGCTTGGTAGATTCCCTCACCTGACTCTTGAGGGGAGATTCAAAGTCCCCGGATTTCCAGTTGTTCCTAGAATGCCCCACTCCTGACTTCTACTCCTCCTCATCAGGACTGCTCAGAACCCACAGACATACCTCCTTCCCCTTGGTTCTAAGTGGACTAGAGCTAGAACCTAGCTCTCCCGCTGAGCAGCCTAGCACCTTTTCTGTTACAATAGGTGTTTTCTTCTCTCTCTCTCTGTCTCTTTTTTTTTTATAATAAGAGTTCTTAACTGGGGTGCATGAACTTGTGTTTAAAAAAAAGCTATTTTAATAACTGTGTTTCAATATAACTAGTTTTCTTTTGTATTGTATTTTATGTATTTAAAAACCTTTTTCTGAGAAGGGGTCAGATAGGCTTCACCAGACTGCCAGAGGAATCCAGGACAGGGAAAAAAAAAAAGAAAAGAAAAACAAGAGGTTAAGAAGCTTGTACTCTAGTGCTGATTTTTAAGGTTGTTTCTTGGAGGACAAAAATTGTGCATTTATGTACCCATTATGAACCTCAGTCCCATCTCTGTTCTTAAGGATAACTTAGACCTTTGATAGCTTCCAATTACATTTGTAACCCCAATTCTGATTTTGGCTAGAGCCTCCACCTGGGGATTGAATCTTACCTCCAATCTCCAACATTCCTCACTAAATATAGACTGTCCTAGTTACCTCTTCTTCCCATTAAAACAACAACAACAAACCTAGTGTCTCATATTCAAATCCAGAATTCTGAGTTCCTAGACAATCTTATCCTAATAATCAGCAAAAGCCTTTCCTGGCCCTTTTCTATTCCTAGAGGTCGAGAATAATAATAATTCCCATTAATACAATGTTTTCCACCTGACAAAGATCTTGTGAAGCCAATGGTATGTGCTGGTATCTTAATTTTACAGATGAGAAGATACTTTTAGAGATATAAAGTGATTAGACTAGAGTCACATAACCAGTAACACCTGACATTTGTAAAGCCCTTTTTGATTTACAAAGCACTTAATAACGATTAACTCATTTGATTATCACAATAACTCAGAAAGGCAGGTTCTGTAGGAATTGTCATTTATGTTTTACAGGTGAGGAAACTGAGGAGCAAAGAAGTTAAGTGATTTGACCGCAGCACATAGCCAGTGAGTAACAGAAGACAATTCAGAACCAGGTCTCTGCTAAAGTCAAGGTCCCTGGATTTTCACTATTTAGTTATTAAGTGGAATAGTGACTTGAAACTCTCTTGATCCCTACTCTGGTACTATTTCTATCATATAAGACTTCTGGACTACTCACCGCATTGATGGCTAGATTTCCCCTGATGTCAGGTGGAGTGAGCTCATGGAGAAGGGCAGCCCCAGCTACAGCCCCCAGGATCTGGGCAGCCACGTAGAAGGTAGCTCGGAGGAAGGAGACGTGGCAGCCCACCAGACAGGCTACAGTCACAGCTGGGTTAATGTGGGCTCCGCTCACATGGCCCAAGGTTTGCACCAGGGTGCCAATGGCCAGACCAAAGGCAAGAGAGATCTGCAGGACAGAGGGCTGAGCATGAGGCCAGTCGAGGGCTGACCCCAGGCCAAAGAAGACGAAGAGGAGTGTGGCCAAGAACTCTGCACAGACAGCCCGAGAGAAGGCTAAGGAACGCAGCTCCCACATCCTTTGGGCTGGGGCCCCACTTGGAGGCTATGAGAGATATAGAAGGACTCAAGTGACAGAGGTTTTTCAGGCAGTCTCTGGAGAAAGCTAGGATTGGGGCATTTATAGAGCCATCTAAGGCACTGGCTTGGGCACAGGGGGAAAATGAGGGGCGGGGAGTAAAGCTGGTGTCCAATAACCTGGCTTTTTGGTAGCCACACTCACCCCCACCTTTTGACTGCTGCCAGCGTGGTTATCACCCCATCTTAGCCTTCACAGCTGACTAAAGTTCCCCATTAATAAGTCCTAGATCACTGCAATATCTCCCTCTTTTCCTTGTTTGTTCTTCTCTCTTGCTGTGGATGGCCTCTGGCCCTCCGTCCCTGGGCACTTCCTTCTCCCCAGGTACATACCAGTGAAGGAGAAACTCTGGAGGTCATTCAATTCAATTCAATTCAGGATTTTTTTTTAAGTGTGTACTACATGCATGGTACTGTACTAGACTCTGGAGATGTAAAGACAAAAACAGTCTGTTCTTTCAGAGAGCTTAATAGCTCACATTTAAAGTTTGCAAAGGTGCTTTATTATCTCATTCAGAGTTCCCCAAAGTGGACAATACCACCCCATGGGGAGCACTGGACCAATGGGGGGTAGTAGCCCCAGGTGCAATTGGGGAGCATTGAATAAAAATAAGGGGGAGTTGGAAGCATAAGGAAAGGAGATAAGAAAAATTGGAAAAACCATGTGTATATGTTTCATCTGTTGTGTAACAGAGGTAAAGTCATGGTGATTACATTATTTTCCAAATAAACACACAAAATGCAAGTTATAACCAATCAGTGGTCAAGTCCTCCAACAGGTCTTAACAAGCAGGTGTTAGCAGGCTAGCGAGGAAATCCAACATGCATCAGCAAGAACATGTGTGTGTAATGACTTGTTTACCATACTATACTATATGGTTACATGATGCGATATTACATCATCAAAATTTCAATGCAGGAAAAACCCCACAAATTTACAATAAACTATTAAATTTAAAATGCATCATTTAAATATATATTGTATATTTTTTGAAATGATGCAAATTTCAAAAAAATAAAGCAGCTATTAAAGGGTTAAAGAAAGTAGATTTCCAGCGGGGGGGGGGGGGGGGCTCTTGGTAATTTTTTTTTTTTTTGTGAAGACAGCAGTAGGCCAAATAAGTTTGGGAATCTCTGTTCTACATGGTCAAGAATGGAGACCAAAAGGTGGCACAGTGGACCAGGAGGACCTGAGTTCAAATCTGGCCTCAGGCACTTGACACTTACTAGTTGTATGATTCTGGGCAAGTCACTCAACCCCAATTGCCTCACCAAAAAGCAAAAAAAAAAAAGGAAAGAAAAAAAAAGAATGAAGAACAAACAACAACAACCTACTAAGTCTGGGGAGCCGGGAAATATTCCTGTAGGAGAGGGTTGTGTTACAGAAGTCCAACAGAAGAAAGAGGATTCAGGAAGACATCCCCACCCCTGCCTTCTGACAGCGTCAAAAACTGGAGAAGTCAAGTAGAACGAGGACTGAGAAAAAGACATTGTATTTAGCTGTTAAAAGATCTCAGACAGAGCAGCCTCAGTAGAACAGTTAGGTTAGAAACCAGATGGCAAGGAGTTGAGAAGTGAGTGGAAGGTAAAGAAATGCAGGCAATGAGTGGAGATGGCCCTTGCCAATGGTGTAGAGAATGGTAAGGTCAAGTAAATATTTTTTGTATTGCTTTGTTTTAAGGGTGGAAGAGATCTGGGCATGTTTGTAGGCAACAGGGAAAGTGAATAAGCACATATTGAAGATGGGAGAGGGACTGGTCCAAACGGCCAGCTCCCAGAGAGTTGGGGATCAAGAGAGGAGAGGGTGGGACCAAGAATAAAAGTAGAGGGATTGACGTTGGCAAGGAGAAAAGCCACCTCTTCCCTAGAGACTAGGGCAAAGAAGGGGAGAATTGGGAATGATGGAGAGCAGATTTTGGGGTACAGAACAGAGAAAAAGGATCTTGAGATGGATGAACTCTGTTTAGCATCTGTGGTCCTCTACTAAGAGGGAATAAGAAAGAGAAGGAATAGAGAGACTGAGGAGAGAAGAATTTGGAATAGCCCCTGAGGAAAGCATGTTAAATAATTAGGGAGGAATGAAAGGATTGCTTTATGTCTGTGAGGGCTCAGTGGAGATTTCTCTAGCAGTATTCAATGGCAGCGAACAGAAGAGGAGGGTGATGTTTGAGGTAACCAAGGGTTGGTGTTTGTCAAGGTGTGACTGGTAGCAGGACAGCAGGGCACACAGCAATAACTAAAAGGGATGGATATTTCATAGTATAACTCCTCCATAAACAGATCCACAGTTTTCTTTCTTTTTGTCAGGGTTTGTATTATTTTCTTTTCTTTTTAGCATTCATTTAAAAATTTTGAGTTCTAAATTCTTTCTGTCCCTTTAGCCCTTCCCTGAGAAGGCAAGCAATATATTCACGTGAAATTATGCAAAACATATTTCTATATTGGCCATGCTGCCAAAAAAAAAAAAAAGCGAGAAAAACAACGTGAAAAAACATTCTTCAATCTGCACTCAGAGTTCTCTCTCTGGAGGTGGATAGCATTTTTCATCATGAATCCTTTGGAATTGTCATGGATCATTGTATTGCAGATCCACATATTTCAAAGAAAACAAAGTTCAAAGTCAGTAAAAGCAAGACTAATATAATGAACTCTTCCAGCTGACAGTGAATGCAGTGCCGTTTTTATTTAAAATGGTCTGTAAAAACGAGGTCAACGAGCTTGTTGAATTTCAAATCTTGACTTGGGTACAACCTGTCACCATTATCATCAGCTCTTCTTAAGCTCATGACACAGATGAATTGTGTAATCTGCAGAATTTCAGTACGAAGTACATAAGCTCAAAACTAAACAATCTTTTGTAAAAGTATTATAATATGTATTTTATTTCTCAATGTCATTCATCTTGATAAGTACAATTGTATCAGGGACCATCCCATGGACCATACACATACACAGGGCTGGGTCTGTGTCTCAGTCCCTTTGAGTCAACATGGGTTCTAGCACTTTACTAAAGGATATATATGACTAATAGATATGGGTTGATCCTTTGGTCTTTGTTATGGGCAGAAGAATGTGTCAAAGAGGATTGCCAATTGAGCTAAGAAGAGCTGCCCACTCTGTGCTGCAAGGAGAGATGGATCTGGTCCCTTTGAAAGCAGCCTCTTTGTTGGGGTACAACCAACATCAGCTCTCCTTTTGACTTCTATGGGGGAGCAAAGGACTTTTCTCTCCTGCCCCAACCTAGCAGCAATGGCAACCCACAGTTTAAACACATTACAATAGTGACTTGCTTGTCTAGGTAATCCTGAAACAGTTATCTTTGGATAGCTGCCTTTTCTGTTTTGTGTTTCTTTTCCTAAGTATCAGTCCCAGAAAAGTGATCCTGAGAAATGGATGTTTCTAGTTTTCATGGCTACCATTTGAGTTTGAGAGAGTCATTGAATTGGATTACCTAGTTTGGGGTGCTCCCTCCTTGGAGAAGATGACCATGACTAGGACGATGAATCACACATGCCTGGTTGGCCAGAAGATATGGACCTTGAATTGCCACTCATAGTACGGATCTAATGTGAATACTGAAATAACTATTCAGCAGCTGGGAGTCTTTAATGCCTGGAAGAGTTAAATAGAAATGAGGCATTATAGTGTATGTTTTAAATATGTGTTAGTACACATGTATAAGTCTTATAGTGCATATTCTAAATATTTGTAAATGAGTGCTTATAGTTCTTTGTGTTTTAAGCATTTCTTTTGTTGTAGAGGAAATCAATTCCTGATACCTACTACTTGGTACATTTAAATAACTTTTCTAAAAGGGACCATGCTAATCCCTTTTGGGGAAACTCTAGATAGAAGACATATCTAAGTTTTTTTTAAAAGGAGATTTCTTTTCCATAGGGCTCCCAGTTGGAGTCATAATGTGAGTGTGAAAAAAGCCCAATCCCTTTTTTTTTGGAGTCAGGCTTACCCAAGACTGAATCTGGTTTACTAGAGTCCAAAGTCAGAGTCTTATATGTTAGAGGAATGTTTCACAATATAATAAGTTGGTTTCCAAAAAATCTGCAACTTAAAAAAAAATTGAAACCCAAAACAATTATGGATAATTACTTTAAATTTTAAAGAATTAAAGTTAATTATCTTTGATTTTTCTTTCTAATTAAAAAACAAAGTTTTACTGATATCTTTTGTTTTCACATTGCATTAATTCCCTCTTGTATTCCTCCCCTTGTCCATTCTGTGCCTAATTTTAAGAAAAGTGAAATAAGATCTCTTTGTGATGGGCTTTACCTTGGGGCTCCACTAATCCTGATTCGTGAATAGTTCAAATATGGCCCATTATATCAGGCTGACTGCCTCAGACATACTTCACTTTATTTCCTTATCATCTCTTCATCAGTCATTTTGCTGCCTAGACCTACAAGATTTAACCTTTGCAGCTCCAAGTCTCCCTCCCTGGGGCCCCTGAAGTCCTAATTGGTGACTATCTCAGCCGCTTCAGTAATGTCTCATTTTCCTTCCCAGTCATTGTCTTGCAAGCTACTTTGCTAGCCACTAGCACTTCTTGGTTCACCCCTTCCTCTCCCTCTCCTCACTTTCTAGTTGTGGAACTATAATCAAATCAATACTGCCACTGCCACTGCCACTGCCACTGATAAGGGTGTACACATATAGCTTCCTCATGACTCCCCTCGCTACCCTTTTAACTCTTTAAAACAAAATACCCATTTCTGACCAATAGTCCTTTATATGGACTGACGCCTCCATTAGAATGTAGGCTCCTTGAGAGCAGGCATGGACTTTTGTTTCTTTTGTATCTTAACACAGTGTTTGGTACATGATAAATATTTAATGCTTTCTTATTCATTCATAAAGACATAACCAGTTTGAGAAAATCTACAGGTTGAAACTAATAAAAGTATACCAGAGTTTTAGGGTCAAACA